GTTTGTAACACTAAGAAATGATGGTCTGAGATATAGACTCAAGTGTATGTTTTTGATCTGCTTCGAATTCTGAGTCGATTTAGCTGATTCATTATAGTAAATGCCAGAGCTCTTTTAAATTGGATATAATTGGAGTTCGGATAGTGGCCATGCAACATTAAAACTTATTTGACTATATCTTAGAAGCTATAAAAGTTATATTATTAAAATTTTTCACAAGCAAATATATAAGGAGGACCGAGTTGTTTGATGAGAGCAGTGGAGATTGCTTGGCTCCTTCTGGTAGCTGTCACACAATTTCAAAAGTTGTTTGGGTATATATCAGAAACTATATAAGCTATGATATTGAAATTTCACACAAGCGAATATATTAGTGAGGCCAATGCGTTTGATAAAATTCGTTGAAATTGCTAGGCTTTTTCTCAATAGTAGTTTGGCCATATCGTAAAAAATATTGAAATCACAGTACTAAAATTTTGCATAAATTAATATGGTAATATGGCAACTTAAAGTCATAGTCAGTCCTATGGTCAGCTATGGCATATTTATTCGCAAATAGGATAACTAATTCGTACGGGTATAACGTTTTTCGTACGTTTTGTTGAAGACCTTTTCCTTCCCTTGTCTTTCTTTCTCTCTCCTTCTCTACATTTAATATTATTTTCCTTCTCCCTTTTTCTCCTTCTTCGCTCCCTCTTCCTTTCCACTTTTCTATCTTCGTCTCCCTCTATTCTTCTCCCAATCTCCTTCATCCTTTTTCTCTAACTTTAATCTTCTTTTCCCCCTCCCTCTTCTTCTATTTTTTAGTTCATCTCCCTCTATCTTTTATCTTGCTTACTCTCCACCTTACTCTATATTTCTCTTTCATCAATTCACCTCAATTCATCTCCTTCTCCCTCCATCTCTTTACCTCTCTCTCTCTTTCTACCGTTCTCTCAAACTCTTTGAGTTTCAATTCCACTTATAAGATTGTATAAACAAAGGACAATTAGAGTTCGAAGGATATTGCATTGTGAAGAGTATTTGTACAAAATTTGAAAGAGATTGAATATTAATAAGTCTGCAAATTTAATTATAAAATTTGACGCAAACAGACATACACGAAAGCAATTTTTCATGTGTAATAAATAGAAAAACAGATACAAACAACTTATAGGAACAATTATCCTCTATTATACAACACTCTTTTTAAAAAAAGTTATACATTTAATATAATAGTAATAAAAACAAAGATTTCGATTTAAGTAATAGTTCAATAGCACAATTGTTTTCTTGGTATTATTTTAATTTTTGAGATTTCTTTGGTATTTTAGTTTATAGTTAGCATTAAATTTACTTATTTATTTATTTATTCATGGTTTGGTTACATGTACATCTTTAATTTTTTAAAGTAAAAACGTTTCAGTCGGTATAAACTGATTGAATTATACCCTGCACCTTTCGTTATTGTATAGCAATTACTCGAACCTGTGAAATCATTCTATAGAAACTTCACGGATATGTCTGACCTATAATTGGGCATCCGACTGCCAAGTTTCATGAATCTGACTTTATAATTTTTCCAAATTTGGAAATGTATGGCATGTACCTGAACCTGTCAAGCAATTCCATCAAAACTCCACAAATATATATGATCTATAATCGGACACACAACTGCCAAGTTTCATGAATCTGACTTTATTATTTTTCCAAATATTAAGAATAAGCTTTTAGACTTGTAAGGGAGCTACTCGAACATGTCAAACAATTCCACCAAAACTTCAGAAATATATCTGACCTATAACTCGACACACAACTGCCAAGTTTCATTAATCTGACTTTATTATTTTTCCAAATATTTAAAATAAGCTTTTGGAGTTGTATGGCAGGTACCCGAACCTGTCAAGCAATTCCGCTAAAACTTCACAAATATATCTGATCTATAATCGGATACACAACTGCCAAGTTTCATGAATGCGACTCTATTATTTTTCCAAATATTTAAAATAAGCTTTTAGACTTGTATGGGAGCTACTCGAACCTGTCAAGTAATTCCACCAAAACTTCAGAAATATATGTGGCCTATAACTCGACACACAATTGCCAAGTTTCATGAATCTGACTTTATTATTTTTCCGAATATAAAAAATTTTCTGTTGGAGTTGTATTGCAGCCACCCGAACCGGTGCGGCTATCCCATTATAATTTTTAGAGCATGTGTAGAATATAATTGGACACACGTATACAAAACTTTTTATTTATAGCTTTATTAGTTTTTGAAATATTTAAAATAAATTCTTTGAGTTGTATGGCAGCTCCCCGAACCCGTTCTCCGAATTAGTCCAATAACAATAGGGTTCGTCCTTGGCACAAAAGAAAAAACTTGTGAAAGTTTGGTGTCGATTGCATTATTCGTTTTTGAGTTATCGTGCGATCGGACGGACGGACGGACGGACGGACATGTCTAAATCGACTCAGAATTTTACGCTGAGCAAGAATATATATATATGTCCATACCGCAGATGACTCCTTCAAGTAGTTACAAACTCCATACCAAAGTTAATATACCCTTCACGAAGTGCTTGATTATGGTCGGAACAAATGTTAACAATTGTAATAAGTATGTCAATAGCTAAAAAATTAAATTATTCTCTATTAGTAAAAAACCTAAAATTTTAAGTGGAGATAGTATTTTTATACTCTGCACGTGAAGGGTATATTAACTTTGGTATGGGGGTTGTAACTACTTGAAGGAGTCATCTGCGATATGGACATATATATGTATATATTCTTGCTCAGCCTCAAATTCTGCGTCGATTTAGGCATGTCTGTCCGTCCGATCGCACGATAACTCAAAAACGAATAACGCAATCGACACGAACCTTTCACAAGTTTTTTCTTTTGTGCCAAGGACGAACACTATTGTTATTGGACTAATTCGAACAACAGTTTCGGGTACCTGCCATACAGCTCAAAGAGTTTATTTTAAATATTTCAAATACAAATAAAGCTATAAATGTAAAATTTTGTATACATGTGTCCAATTATATTCTACACATGCTCTAAAAATTATAATGGGATAGCTGCACCGGTTCGGATGGCTGCCATACAACTCCAACAGCAAATTTTTTATATTCGCAAAATAATAAAGTCAGATTCATGAAACTTGGCAGTCATGTGTCCAATATAGGTCAAATACATTTCTGAAGTTCTAGAGGAATTGCTTTACAGGTTCGGGTACCTGCCATGCAACTCCAAAAGCTAATATTAAATATTTGGAAAAATAATAAAGTGAGATTCATGAAACTTGGCAGTTGTGTGTCGTGTTAAAGGTCAAATATATTTCTGAAATTTTGGTGGAATTGGTTGACAGGTTCGAATAGCTCCCATACAAGTCTAAAAGCTTATTTTAAATATTTGGAAAAAGAATAAAGTCAGATTCATGAAACTTGGCAGTTGTGTGTCCGATTATAGATCAGATATATTTGTGAAGTTTTGATGGAATTGCTTGACAGGTTCAGATACTTGCCATGCAATTCCAAAAGCTAATTTTAAATATTTGAAAAAATTAAAAAGTCAGATTCATGAAACTTGGCAGTCGGATGTCCAATTATAGGTCAGACATATCCGTGAAGTTTCTATAGAATGATTTCACAGGTTCGAGTAATTGCTACACAATAACGAAAGGTGTAGGGTATAATTCAATCGGTTTATACCGACTGAAACGTTTTTACTTGTTTTAAATTAATCTTCAATGCTAATATTATGTTAATTTTTATGAGGAAACGTTAAAAAACTATTTTAAACATTAATTCTGAGTTATTTTCTTTTGTGGTATTTTTTCTTTATGTTTCTGTTGTTTAGAATTTGCTTAATGTTATCTTTTAAACTATTCAAAATTACATAACTGTAGATTATAAATATTACTATATTATTATATTAATATATTGTAATATTAATATTAATATATTGTAAATATTTGAAAATTAAATAAATAATAGAAATACTCAAATGCAAACTCGAGTTAAAAATAGCAATACTAGGAATGTCCGTCCATTAACGTGAGCTGTTCGCAATTGCATTTATAGGGATATCTTTTTAGGGAAAAATTAATAAAAATTTGCAAAATAAAATAAATATCATTTTTATTATTTAGAAAACAACATCAATTAATTTTAAAACTATCATTTGATATATGTGTAAAATTATTTGATAAGATTAAGTGTAGTAAGTAAGTGTAAAAGAAAAAAACTTTAAACTACGTGATAACTCAAGACCAATTTAAATTTGCAAATGAAAATAAACAAAAAATGTATAAGTAGACTTGTATAATCCATAATGACTTTTCTTATATAAAATTATTTACTGAAGTGTAATACTTTTGTATATGAAATTATATTTTAATTTAAGGATATAGAAAATAATACAAATAATTTTTTTTCGAAAAATCCTTCGGATCTATCTTTATATTTTAGGTGAGATTTGTTCACATATAGGTGTACGCTGTAAAGCATTCAATAACATTGTTCATTTTGTTTCAAAACTCAGAAATTTTCAAAAACTTATTTAAAATTGATCGGCAAAAATTTTTGCAACAAAACTTAATAATTAAAGCCGTTTTTTTGGTATAACACTAATTAGTTGAATTTTTTCTTTTTGGTTTTGATAATCTGATTTATTATACCTTTTCGTGGAACGAAATTGGGCATATACAGTAGCATGCGAAAAAATAGCAGCATGGTGAAACATTCTGCGTTAAAAAATTCCAATTTAATATAAAACCCACATGTTAAGTAGTATACATTTTTGTTTTTATAATAATAATTTAATTTCAATATAACAAAAAACACAAAATATATCAGTCTAAGGACAATAGTCTCATAAAAATTGAAAAATAATGTTTAAAAAAATTTCGCGTACTTTCGGGTATATTTGATATTTGAAATAGTAATAAGTTATTTGGTATGATATGTCCTATTGCGTTAACCACAAATATACATAAATGAAAAAATTGTACTCACCAAAGCCAAATTTATAAAATATTTCTTCAACTTGAATCATTTGAGTTTTTTCTGGAATCAAAAGTTCTAAAGATTGTGAATTCTTCTTAACATTAAGATTTTCAGGTAAACTTGCATCTTGGAATATTTCATTTCTTGGACCTGCAAAGTCAGCAAGTAAATCTTCAGACGAAATAAACTTTTCATTATCATTTCTTTTGGGAGAACCATATCCTGAATTATTTCGAAAATCATTTTGATCATCATTGTATTTCATTTTTTGTGTCATAGTGTTTAATGAGTTTTTTAAGTCGCCTTCCTGCTCTTTCAATATATTATCATCATTTTTATTAATGGAATTTTCTAGACTTTTCAAACAAAACTTGTTTTCATTAAAAATGATATCATTGTGCGGATCTATAAGTTTATTATCAACCTCTTTAACATTAAGCTGGGACGAGTGATTGTTGTCGTTAATATTATCCGGAATTTTACAATTGAATTCAATATCATTCACCTTTTCGCATACTTTAATATCATCTTGAAAGTGTTGTTTTATATAGTTAATATTATAGTGATCAACAAGATGATTTCCATAATCATTCTCAGAAGATTGTAATATTGAGGTGCTATTTAATTCATTTTCTTCGTTTTTCGTAGCAGCTATTCTATATACCGTATGGTTTTCTAAAGTGGCGCCATTTTTACGATAACTCAAATCCTCATCATCATTTTTGGAAGCAGTATCGACAGATTGATGATTCGTAGAATTCATACTTTTACTTAAAAAAAAAGTTAAAATTTCTTTTAGAAATATTTCTTTTAAAATTATTTAAAATATAGTTTTGAAATATGTAAATTTGTATCTTAATTTTTTTTTTCAAAAGTCAATAAAATTTTATCAAAATTTAAATTTTTTCGTACATATTAAAATATAATTGATTCAAATATTTTTAGTTCAAAAAATATTCTGACTTTAATAATAAAAGTCTTTAGAACAATAATTTTTCATGATCCTGCGCTCATTTAATACAACATAAACGAAGGAAAAGTAGGACGGTAAAAATAGTGACAAAAGGGATAACGTTTGAAAAGCAAATCTTTTTTGATTTCAGCAGTATTTCGTTTTTTAAAATTTCACTAGTATCAATATTTAGTCAATTTTTCCATTTATATAATTTTTTTCTGAAGTGATTTTAAAATATTCTTTAAATAGAAAAAAACTAATGTAAATCTCTATAGGTTGTCCTTTAAACTCACCTGTAGGTTCTTAAGCGTTTTTCTTGTAAGTCCTTATAAGTTGAATATATATTAGTTAATAAAATTTTCGTATATGCATAATTATAAGCTTACTGGTATTAATTCACATGCATGAGTACATGGAAGCTTATATTTTGTATCTTAAAAAGCTGAAGCAGAAAGCTTCGTGGAAAAATATTCTAAATATCCATTCCTATATATTCATGTATATACATATATTAACGTTCTGAGTCTGTGCAATTTTTTATTTTTTTTTAAAGTACATAATTTAAAAATGTTACGCTAATCGACAAATTATATTACATCATTTGCAGAATTTTTATAAAAAATCTTTTTTTTTTTCTTGTAATTTAACGATTCTGTAAGGATTAAAAATGGGAAAAATATGCAAAATTTGTATTTGAAAAATCCCTGTTCCTTTTGTGTAAGTACATAAATATACTCTGCTAATTAGTGGGTTGCCAACTTCCTTTATCTTTAATACTAAAAGTAGTATTTCGTAAATACTAGGTAACCCGATATTCTGATTAGTATTGTGTAACAATGGGCCTCGCTAGTGCTCTATTTGAAAATTTCATAACAGTAAACTTTAAATTGGTCAAATGAGAAAACCAACCAAAATATTATTAGAATATATCCAGTTTAATATAGAGTGGTGCCGCTCCATTTGTTATCTATTTTCTCACTTAGGGTTAATGACAACAGAGTGATTGTAATTCAAATTAAAATAATCCTCTAAATTCAAAAAAATTGCCAAAATCATTTTGGATGTAAAAAAATAAAAAAATCCGGGAATTTGTTGGCATCAGTAGGCCAATAATTCGGATTGCCAATAAAATGATAGGAACTCTCCAATTCTATCTCTAGTTGAGATCAATCTAGAGCCTCAATATACATGTTTGGTATTATAGTCAAAGATATAAGAACCTACTTCCACCCGCTTATAGGATAGCACAACCTCCTCCTCAATGGTTACCAAGGTGAGTTGCCTTATAGCATCTATAACCCAGTGCATCCAAATCCTGCCCCAAGTTCGTTTCTGACAACAGATATCCATCGATATTTTTAGCTCTTAGAAAAACCTTCAATTCGGGCTTCTTACTTAGAATACCATCAGCGCACAAATTCGTATTTTATTTACTAATATTTTTCGGAAATCGCTTCGGCGTAGCTAGATATAGTTTAGTATATCTATTCTCCATAATAGTTAGTCGCATTGAGATTTCTTCCATTCTTTTTATCATGCCTGTTTATAATATCCGTCAACTTTCTTAGGTTTTTGAAATTTGAACAATACCATTTAATTTGTCAATTTAATATCATACGATGCAAAAACTTTCTTCGGTTGGAGGATTGGGGAGTAGAAATACCCACAGTAGACTTGTGGTACGGTTGTTGTTGAAACTGATGATAATCTAGAGAGGAAGAAAATTAATTCTGTACTTGTAGGTAACCTGGATAAGAATTATGTAGTCAAAATTCCTTCTGAAATAAAACCTAAAATTGAAATAGTGCACATTGGCACACAGTACTCAGAAGTTGAGTTAATAACCACATTGAAAGCGCAAAACCATCATCTTGAAGCGAGTGAAATGAAAATTATTAAGATATATAAAGTACAAAGGCAGGGTGAAGAGAAATATAATGCGATTGTCGAAGTTGATAAAGAATCTTTTCCTAAAGCTTTGCAAAATGAAAAAGTTTCTACAGGATGGGAACGTTGCAAAGTATTTGACGCGTTGAGAGTGATTCGGTGTTTTAAGTGTCATGGATTCAATCACAAGACGGCTGAATGCAAAAATTAAGAGAAGTGTGCTAATTGTTTAGGTAAACACAAAAACCGTGAGTGCAAAAAGGAGAAAGTTAATAAATGTATTAACTGCTCAGCTGCGAATGAGAGGTTAAAACTAAACCTTGATGCTACTCATGAAACACTAAGCAAAAAATGTCCAGTTTATTTAAATAAATTAAACATGCTAAAAAAGAAAATTGGATATTAGCAATTACTGCTAAATGAAGTTGATCCAACTAGCAATGCTGTACTTAAAACTCGTCAACATACCCACCTATTTGATTCAGTTGAAAAAATAAATACATCAGTATAAAGTGTCAAAATTTCCAAAAAAAATTGCTTATTAGAAAACCGGTTAATGAAAGCAAACCTAAAAAATAAAACAGCTGGAAATGTTAGTTAATTAGCCAGAAGCTCACTCTTAATGTTCAACAAAAAAGTGCTGAATACATGCTTTTCGAAAATAAAGCGTAAATGTATGTATATGAATAACAATAATAATAACAAAAAAATTAATGGTAATAATAATAATAACAAAAAAACGATATCGTCAATAACAATACGAATAATAATAACAACAATAATTACAGTAATAATAATAGTGATTTTGCATGCAATATGGTTGTGAATGGTAGTAGTATTAGGAATTTCAATGTTTCAAATTCTGATCCAATAACTAATACTATAAGTACGTCAGCTAATAATAATTTGGAAAAGTATTCCAATTGGATACAAGGTGAAACACTTAATCCATGCATTCAAACAAAACCAAGTGTTACTGCAAATGATAATATAAAATCCAGCTATATCAGTCCGTTATTCACACCAATTGCAAAATTAACACTAAAAGCGCTTGAGCAAGATGATAGCATGTATGTACTTTCGTGTTTGAGAGATCATAGAAGATACAATAATGTAAGACTTTACTTAGCATACATATTTCATCAAAATGATGTATGTGTCGATGATATAACACCTATAATTGTAATATTTTGCTTAATAATCAATTATTTGCTATAAATATGTTCAAAAATAGTAATTAAGTTCATTTAAGTTTTGTTATTATAACTAAATACATTAACTCAATAAAACGGACATCAGCCCAGAAAAATATTTTTTTTTACAAGAAATTGAACTATAATTTCCTAGAGCGTTGATAATAGTAGGCTTACCGCAATTATCAACGCTCTAGGCTAAAACGGATCACTACGACGTATAAAACGGAAACCAATGCGAAGCATTCCACTTCTAACGTGAGTACTACTAAGACCAAGAATAAAAATTTTTCATTAAACTTTTACGAGTGACAAATTTTTTTCGAGCTAAAAAGTAGTGAATCATTATTTACAAAAAATAAAAAAATAATAATAACGAATATGGAGAAAAAAATCGAAGAAATACAAAATGCAATGAGAGAGATGACCGGGGCTCTCAGCGCCGAACTCAACATGATCAAAGCATTGCAAATTAAAATAGAATTATTAGAAAATACAAAAAAACCAACGCAACAACCCTCTCAGAAAAAACAAAAATACAAAAAAACCAACGCAACAACGCAGCCTCTCGAACATTCCATACATAGTATACAACACAGCCGACAGCAAAATGCTCAAGTTGCTTGTAGATACTGGGGCAAACAAAAACTTCATAAAGCCAGAACACGCCAAGAAACCAAGGCCCACAGTACGCCCGTTTACTATACGATC